TCTATATACTATAAACAGTTTTTAGGTTACGGAATTTCCAAACAGACACATTCTTGTCGCATACAGACAAATTAGCACATATATTACGTAATTCACCTAAATGACGTAAGACAGTGGCGGCGGCACCGAGGGGGTCGCCCTCCGAATAAACAACGCGATCGATTAGTGAGCAGACCCCCCCCCCCGGTGCAAAATTTCGTGCCACCGCCTCTGTAAGGAATCCAGTAACAAGTACAGGGGTACGAATGATTGCTATTAATAGTGCAACGGTTCACACCCATGTTAGCGAAGTAGCTGCAATACAGATTCGAACAGTAAAGAAATCATTTTGAAGTAGGTAAACAAATACCCTAGTTCCCTCCGAAATTTCAAACAACACTGGCATTTAGCAATGGCGGTTTACTGTACCGAACAAGGTCGGGTCAAACGCATAAAACACAAAAGTAATATACGGAGTAGCACAAAAACACCCACGTGCACGTGTACATTGTATAGCGGTCATATTTATAGTACATAAACACATTCATATCATGACTTGCCTCGTTGTAGTAGTATTCGTGATCTCATACCGCCTACGCAATAAAGTTGAAAAGTTTCATATCCCGCCCACTGTACTACTAAAAGTTCCGGGTTCGCCCATTCGACACATGCAATTTTGCAAAATTGATTGCCAAAATCGGTCTGTAAATTGGAAATAGTGACATAATGCATGTACTTACTCCATGTGCGATCAATATAATATATAATATCTTGGAAAGTGCGCTCAAATCCAAATGTTGGCTAGCAGCCATGTCTTACAAGGACTCGTTTGGAGTTGTTAGTCTTAGCTCTCGGATTCAAAAATAACGCCGTTGTACAATCAGTTCCGCAAGTAAGTACGAGATGGGAATTCCCATTTGCGGCGGGGGTGGGTGGTCATGCGTGATTAGATTGCAGTACCGAAACGCCCTGGCGCCACAACAAGAGCCAGACTTGAGTAAAAATATACCTCCTTCGTAATTGACCGCCAGTATCTCATTTAAAACGTGCCGCGCGACTTGCTTTGCAATCCGAATAGTGTTTCCATTTCCTATCATAATCTGGTCCATTGTTCGCCTGATCTATGAAACCATGGTATCTGGGACAGTTGACCTCGGCGGCCAGTAGTTGAAATGCTGTAAATGGACATGTTCTGGGTACAAAACTTCGTTAGGCTTCACTAATTACCAAATATTTTCGAAGCACCTGGGATCGATGTTCCATACTTTCATTGATTTAAACATAGACCTTAGAAAACAGGGAAATGCAACTTCTGTCTGAGAAAAAGGAAAATCCAGTTTCCTGTGTGCAACGTGGGTTATAATCTCCTGTATAGATAATCCCATTAATACATATACCTATACATCTGAAACAGTTTTAGTTCTTACCTTTCTACGCTTTTGTATATGTTTGATAAGTTATGCTGTGCCAATGTTCACATTTGTCAGTGTATAACGGGTGCACTATGTTATTCGAAGGTCTATGATTTAAGGTAGCGAGAGGGGGAACACAAATTATAGTTTAATTGAGATTAGGACTTTACATTATTAACAATCATATGAATGCTTTAGTGATATCTCTATGGTTACTCTATTGGTAAATCATATACTGATTGTAATGATTTCAGTGTTTGGTCTATGCATGTACTTTTGGATATACGAGTGCTATTCATACAAATAATAACATATATCATCCAGCACGAGAGCACGATTCGTTTTCAATGGAATAGAATAGTGAGTAAACTTTCTGCGACGTAATTAAGTATACGAGTTAAAGGCTACCTGCATGCTTAAATACTTAAACCAACAACCAAGACTGACCGACCATCGTCCTACTCGTCAATCGTCTTGTCGTCCACCTAGTACTAAAACCAGTGTGTTTTATGCGTTTTTATCAAATCACTAACCTACAGTATTACCTATGAGTATAGTTATTGTATGCGAGCTATTTCTCATATCTATATTGCAAATCATATACTGAAATGGACTACATTATTAACAATCATCTGAATGGTTTGGTGATATCTCTATGGTTACTCTATTGGTAAATCATATACTGAAAGCGACTACATTATTAAAAATCATCTGAATGGTTTGGTGATATCTCTATTGTTACTCTATTGGTAAATCATATACTGAAATGGATTACTGTAAAGGGGGTAATTATTCACTGGGTTTTAATTTAGCTTATTTCGCTGACTGGAAAAATGCGCTAAATTAAAACACAGTGAATATGTAAAATTTAGCATAGAACACATTATCTAAATGATAAAACCGTGAATTTAAAACCCACTGAATATGCCTGAAATGGTAAATCAGTGAAATTTAAACCCAGTGAATATTAGTCATTTTACAGTACATTATTAACAATCATCCGAATGGTTTGGTGATATCTCTATTGTTACTCTATTGGTAAATCATATACTGAAAGCGACTACATTATTAACAATCATCTGAATGGTTTGGTGATATCTCTATTGTTACTCTATTGGTAAATCATATACTGAAAGCGACTACATTATTAACAATCATCTGAATGGTTTGGTGATATCTCTATT